ACAAACATCATGAAACAAAAGGCCAAAGCAATACAATAACCATCATTAATGTTAACTAACATCAAGTCTCCTTATATCCTAGTAACCCATTCCCAATGTCCATTTAATCATTACATTTGGGGTCCAGGTGTTTCATGTATTCATCTGGTTCCTAGATATCTTTTCTCGACAATCTGGAATAAGCTTCATTCTCAGAGAATTTCTGAAGAAGACTCTGCCTCTCTGGTTCCAAACCATTTGTGAAGGTTCCTTGGATCATTCTGCTAAAATCTGCCAGTAATAAGACTTAATACCATTTAGTACAATCTCTTAAATTTGGTTTTCCAATAACTAGTTCATCAGATGAAAACTAGCTCAAACTTTATGGTTCTGGTCCTATTAACAACAGAGTTATAAGAACAACATCAAATTAAGAACCCATAATTCACCTGAAACTTTAGAAAATTTCAGTATTTATATACTAGCTACTATTTTTATCTTTACCTAAACCCTGTACCTGATAATAAGAATTAAAAAAAAAAATTCTTGAGTGTCTAACTTGTAAAATGAACTCTTCTGACTTTTACAATTGACCGCAAGGTAGAGCAGTGGATAGAGCACTGAGCTTAGAGTCAGAAAGACATGAGGTCAAATGTGGCCTCAGGCACTTACTAGCTGTGTGTACCTGGGCAAGTCACTTAACTCTGTTTGCCTCGGTTATTCATCTATAAAATGGGCTGGAGAAGGAAATGGGAAACCACTCCACTATCTTTGTCAAGAAAACTCCAAATGAGATAGCAAAAAATTGGACGTGACTAAAATGACTAAACAAAAATCTTTTAAAGTTATTAGATACTTTTAAAATGGGAAAATAATTTCACTTTCTTTATAATTACCAATATAATTATATGTAAATCCTCAATCCAATTCTGAGAACTTATTACTAAAATATGCTCAAAGCCTGAATTTCCGAACTAGATGCATTTGGAAGCCAATCACATTTTACATATATATATATATGTATATGTGTATATATATATGTATATGTACATATATATATGTATATGTATATATGTATATATGTGTGTGTGTTTATACACGCTATATATGTATATACATATATATGTATGTATGTATGGAGAGAGAAAGTTCTTAGAGAAAATAATCTAATCCTGTTGCTTTCTCAAAATTTACTATTCCATTTAATGAGAAAACTTTTATATTATATCTTTGTCTTATTAGTTTAATTCCCCTAATAATAATTACTCTAATTCCCCCTTCTGAAGGATGTCATCCCTATATTATAATTTGATAACAACTGCAGATTAAAATTTTAAGATTTTTCAAACTTGCATCCTATTATAGTAACTCAGAGATGAAATAACTCAGAGGTGTTCAAGTATCAATCTATTAATTAATAGATTTAGTATTGTACTTACACAATACTTCCACTGTTCACCTCCCTTTAGTATATAAATGTGCTATGAAAGGAAAAGGAAAGGCATAGTTATAACTGTGTCAAGACTTTTCCCTTCAAGGGCACAGACTGATCTGACGTATACCATAATAGGGGAAAACGCCATAAGAGGGAAAAGCTCTGTTTGATTCCAGGTTTGAGTCATGATCAGGTAGTCACAGGGTAACAAAAGCCAGGCTCAGGATTAACCAGGTGGGGAAATTGCCTGTTCATAAAAGAAATAGCACAGTGGGGAAACTGAGCCAAGAGGATCCTACCTTAGGTCATGCCAAAGTCTTCCCCTCAACTTTTTCTCAGGGACAGACATTCACCTGTAGTTCTTAGAAAGCAGCACATGCTCTTTTCTACTGTTGGCTTCATGACAATTCAGACAGTCATTCCCATAATCAAAACTCAAAACAATAGTAAATTATAGTCCCAAGAGTTTTTACCTCAAATAGCAAAATTTCATTAACCACAACTTAGAGCTTGAATCCTATTAATTTCTTATGTTTACCTAACAGTTACATTTCATTTATCCTTTACTTATAAATTAAAACTAACCACATTCTGGAGTTTCAGACATACAGCAAATACTTGATAATTGATTCATATTAATATATTGAAGTTACATCTTTAAACTACCCTGTACATTTTCATAATTTTTATGTGATGGTCAAAAATTTTCCAGTGAAAACATTGTTATAATAAACATTATTATTATCATTATTGTTATTATCTGTTTTAAGAAAAATATATCCCATTAAATATTTAACAGTTTTCAAATGTTTTTATTACAATCTTTTAAAAGCTGAATTCATAATATAACAGCATCCAGATTAAAAAAAAGTTTTTTCTAGCAGCATTTCTGTTATAATGGTTTTTCCAAATTTCACAATATAAGAAAAATTTAGAAATACATTAATAACAAAGACAATATTATACATTTACAATACAAAATAAAACTTATTACTAGTCAGATGACATCAATTCAGTTGAATGCAGTTTCAAATTATTTTACATAGAAAAATAATTTATCTTATTACCTTTGTCATTTTATACTAATCACATCTAAAATATGATATGCAATTACATTCAATTAAAGGAATAATGATAACAATAGTCAATATTTATATAGTGCTTACCCTATGCCAGTCATTGTTTTAAGCACTTCACAGTCATTATATTTCTTGGTCCTCACAACAACCCTGGGAGTTGGGTGCCATTGTTATTTTCTTCATTATAGATCAGGGAACTGAGATAAATAGAAGACTAATAAATTTGTAAGAACACAGATTTCCCTGCATTTTTCCAGCTTTTTTCTCCCAGCACCTTTATTTGGGAACCTGAACTGAGATGAGAGGGGCTAACAGGGTCAGAGGGGGAAGGTCTCTGAGCAGGGGGAGTCATAGGAAGTCTTTGAGCTGAGAAAGTCACAGGGATTCTCAGAACTGGGTAAGAGGAGTCTCTGATCTGGGATGAGGGTGAAATGGGAATCTCTGAGCTGGAGTGGGGGGCTTAGGGGGTCCTTGATCTGGGATAGGAATCAGAAGGGGATCTCTGATTTAAACAATCTTTCCTCTTTTCATTGTCAAGGAAGGGTAAATTTAACTGCAAATCACATACCTATTTTTTCTTCACTCTGGGATTGCTTTCAAACTATCTGCCTTCCTTTATTACACTAAAACAATAGGTCTATCAATCTTCAGGGGGGGAAGTAATCTAAGTGTTACCTATCCCTGAATTTTTTACAGAATTTAATTCTTATTTTTCCTTAAAATAAATTCTACAGAGAGGTCCCCAAAATTCTCTCAGGTATTTCAACAAATGATAATAAGTGAAAATGATTAATCTCCAAGCTCCTTAATCATTAATCGCTAATCTCCAAACCTTCAAAATCTACTAAGATATTTTTTGGCAATTCTACAAACCAGAGCAAAAGTTTTCCTTTCTATGATTATCTCACTTTATCTTTTTAATTCCAATGTGGCCAAGGTTGAAATGACAAAGAAAAAGTATCTTACAGAGTTTTTTTCTCTCTTTTTTTATAACCTAATCTCCTGCTGAAAGCCTAAAGTGGGAGTTAATCGTGCTTACTAGGACAACTGCTTCAAGTATGAAACTTCATTAATCTTTCCTCTCTTTGCCTTCAGCCTTTTAGCAGTTTTTCTGGCTGGTTGCATTTTCCTCTTTAGAAATCTTTTAAGGTAACATAATGTACAGTCCCAAGACAAGACAGATATTTTCCTACATTTTACCAAGACATAAAAACATAGATAAAAACAATAAGAAACCAAAAGTTCATCTGATCAAAATAAGATTTTCAGTGTCTAGCCATAATCTTTTTTTTTTCCAATTTGCAATAATGAAAACAGCTGAATTGGGGACAGAAAACAAATTACCACTTGAATCCCTTGTAGATTTATGTCAGATGTCACATATCTCAATAGCATACTGTTTAGTTATTCTTGTAACTATCAGAAGCATCCCCTGATCCTGCACTACCAAAAGTTTACTCAGTGAGGAACTGTTCCACTGTTATTTTACCACCACCGGGAACCCATAATCCTTCCCCAGGGGAAAACTTAATCTTTAACTTAAATTTAATCTTAATTTAATCCTAAACTAAACTCTAAATTCTCCTTCCCTGGGGGACCCTTCTCTTGGGGGAAACTAACTTAACCTAAACTAAACCCCAAATTCCCCTCTCCTGGGAGAACTGTCTCCTGGGGAAAACTAACTTAACCTAAACTACATTCTAAATTCCCCCTTCTGGGATGTCTCCTGGGGTGAACTAATAACCTAGCTAAACCTTATTATAGCTCAGAAGAAAAAAGGATCAAGAACAGGAGTCAGTCTTCTGAAGTCAGGCTTCCATGGGAAAAGTCCCTCAGTGAATAATTAACCAGAGTACTCTAGGGAGTTTTTCTGGAAGGCTATTGGCCACAGGTTGGAGTACTGACTCAACCTAGCTCAGCTTACCAAGAAACTGGGGCAGGGGGAAAGATGAAATGACTGAGGAAACACAGGTTCAATCTATTGAACTTATTGATTTATTAAGCAATGCATGCCAATTTCTTAATAAATCAGGACCAGTCACCTTCCTCAGCTTTGGTACTGAAATATAAGAGAAGAGAAAAGAAACCCTTGCCTGTTGCCTCCTTTTTCACATTGCATAGGTGAAAGTAATCTCTGTATTGCAGGTGGTTTTCAAAGATAAGTGGATCCTTCCTGAAACACTTCCTTGATGACCCTAAATTTCTATATATACCATTTCCTATACTACTTTCATTAAAAACAGCAGATTTTGATATTAGTGCAGTCACAGATGTGATAGATGGAAGATTTGATGTAATGAAAATTTGACATACTAATTGATCCTGAGCTGCTGTCATGGAGAATCATAAAGTTTATTTTTTAAGAAATAAGTGGGACCTTATCAATCCTGCAGTCCAGTCCTCTTCTTGTCTGGGTACTCATTTTACAATAATAATACAGTTGCATAGTGGTATAAAACAGAGAAAGACTTTTCCATCATTAATTAATATTTTTGTTGTTTTTATAGGGTTTCAATGCTGTGTTTGATGCCTTGGTGATAAGCAAATTAAATATTTTAGAAATTGTTCAAAAGGTACGACATAAAGACAAATCATTAGAGGTGAGTATATCCATTTTCTTTAGGTAAGACATCCAAAATGTCAAGTACCACAGCAGATTAAAATTCCATTTTCACTATATTTCATGCAGTTTTTGTATTTTAAATTAATCTAGCTGCTAAAACACATCAAAGTAGTTAAGGCACAGTTGTTCTGCTGGTGTACTTAACTGCACCACTGCTACTTGGCTACCACTGCAATCAATGTCAGTATCTTTGGGGTTTTTTCTTCTCCTTTTAGAATATTGGATGGCTAAAGAATGGAGGCCTTCTCTTCAGACTGATTCTCCTGTTTTCTGGAGGGGCAACAATACTTTATGTGCGCTGGAGAATTATGGGCACTGGTCCACCAGCCTTTACTGAAGTTGACAATCCAGCCTCCTTTGCAGAGAGCATGTTTGTCAGAGTGAGTCTGGAGTCTTTATTTTAAAAAGATTCCTGTTTCTTTATAGGTGACAAGTCCTTTAGACCTACCTTTGATAGCATAGTGCTTATCTTTTAAGACTAATAATGATTATTCTAAGATTAGAACTATTTCTTGGCACCAGGAGTTTAGGGTAAGAGACAGCTATTTTTCCTTTCTCCTTTGTGACTGAAGGAAAAATGTTATTCTTTCTTTTAAAAATTAAGATTTTCTTCCTGTTTTAATGGATTTTCATTACTCTTCATCCTCCCACCCCACCTTCACTGAAGAACATTGTGGATTGGTATTTGATGGCAGGAGACATTAGTTTTATCCAACAATAATGTGAAAACCCTTTAAAATTTATTTGGACTTGCTTTATTTTTCTAAAGGCCAAAAGGAGGAAAGAGGGAGGTGGTCAAATGGCAGATTTTATCTGTGCTATACACAACAAGGAGGATTTAGGAACCTACACTAGAATTCCGTTACAGGGAACTGCTTTCAGGGAACTAGAATAACAACTCCACTATTGACTTTTTATGTTACAGACAGTATATGTCACTGTGTACATGGGGATATGGTTTGACCTCAGGTTAAAACAAATTAGCTTTTTATTCTATTTCTTTTAAATGGGATTTGCTTCATTTTATTTGTTGAAATCTGAATGTAGTTTTGTCAGATTATAGAATACTGTCTCATGCCCCAAACAAAATCTTCAAGATTTTACTTTACCCAACTTTTTTTCATTATTAACAAGAAGCATCTTAAAAACCTCAAAGTGAAGATAGGATTTATTTTTTTAAGTTCATTATCAAATGTTTGTTTTCCTTTTGACTGACAGGCTATAAACTATAATTACTACTATTCATTGAATGCATGGTTGCTGCTGTGTCCCTGGTGGCTGTGTTTTGATTGGTCAATGGGCTGCATACCCCTTATTAAGTCAGTCAGTGACTGGAGAATAATTGCACTAGCAGCACTTTGGTTCTGCCTAATTGGCCTAATATGCCAAGCTCTATGCTCTGAAGACAGCCATAAGAGAAGGTAAGAGACAATGCTGAATTTTAAACTCTACACTAGGTTGAGTCAACAGAATTTTGCTAAATTCGGTACTGATCATTTTAACGATTCAGTGGAAACAATGTCCAGAAATACATGTTTCAAGTAAATATTCATGGCGATTACTACAGTTTCTTCCCAGTTCAGCCCCGTCATCAGCAATGACTAGTGGGATGCAGACTTGGAGGAAGAGGTATGGATGGCTGCTTTATTTTTTAAAATCCCCACGAAGTGGCATTTTGAGATCCTTAACACCATAGGTGGTAAAGAGTAATTTGTGGTCAGAACAGAGAGTGTAATTGATGTATGTTGTGGCCATCATTTCACAATTCTCCTTTTAAAAAAAAAAACGCCCTTATGAAAGCTGTAGTGATTCTTTCTGTCATCATGGTTTGATACAAAATAAACTGCTGTCCCAAAGAGATTATTCTTTACTGCTAAAAAGGTTATTGAGAAAATAATTGGAAAAAAACAATTGTGTTTTGTGAAAAAGAAAAGTAGGTTTACATCCTCTTGTAAGCAAAAGTCTTTTTATTGTCATAAAATTATTAGTTTCTCAAAATAAATTAAGTTTTGAGTTTGCTAGTACTTTTAAATTGGTTGTAATTTTAAAGAAAAACAAACTCATGTCCTCGTGCAGTCATTTCTACAAGTGAAGTGAGATTGGTTTTTGTAAGTTTTATAAGAACAGGATCCATAAAAGAAGGCCTCAAATTTGATCTCACTTATTAATCACTCTGTTTCCATTTATTGTTTGCAATCATCTCTCTCACTCAGAAACAGTAGCCTATTTCCACAACTATATTTGAATGACCAACATACTTCCTCTTAGCTTAAAGATGTTGAAGGTGACATAGCCCCCATCAAATAAAGACATAAAGCAAAACATATTTGCATTTATCATATTCATGTAATCCTTAAAAGAAAGCTATGACTATATGAAGCGTTTTAGTAAAGTTTCTAAAATAATTATTTCTATTTAAACCCATGTACTTAGGCAACATTTTTATTGAGCTCATTCTGTACTTAAATGGTATAAGATATCTTAAGGATGTTCTAGTTAGTAAGCCTACAGAAATGGAAACACTTTTACATAATTTATTAAAGTAATAGGATTTGCAAGCTTCAGTGTCATATGTTTGAAAGTAATCTTCCCAGACAATTAGTAGAAAACATTCCACCATCAGAAAGTATTTTGGGTATGTTAGAATACAATGGAAGGAAAATGGACATGGAATCAGAAGCCAGATTCAAAATCTACCTCTCCCACTTAGTATAACCCTGGGGAAATCACTTAACCTCTTTAGCCCTTGATTTCCTTACCTATAAGTAGGGGATTAGGTGAGGGGGCTTTGAGTGTCATGATGCTATGCTAATGGGTACAGCTTCATCTGTCCATTTCTTATATACTAATTTCCTATCTTATATGCTGAATAAAATAATTTTATCTAAGTTATTGGTGGACATAGTGTTCCAGGTGGCGTGGTCCTAATATCATTGGTTAATAGTAACTGACAGTATCATGTATTTTCCAAATAATATGCAATATTATAAGCTATACATTTATTCTACTAGCCTTTTGACAGGGAGAAAAAAGAACAGATGTGATAATATATTGTTTTATTTATTCCACAGAGGATTACGTTTCAAGTTCTGAACAAAATAAAAGTCTGCCATGAGGTTAAAAAAAAAAAACCTCAATAGTATCTCTTATTTCTTCCTTATCATTGCCAGATTAAACTCCCACTGATGATAATTGTCTTTGTACAAATTTTCTGATGATGGTATGACATAGTCTTCAAAAGTGATTGATTTAATACTTATAGGTTATACCAAAAAGTACATATTTTTCTTCTGAAGCTTAAGTATAGCCATTTTACTATTCTTTAATTTCTAGAATACTCACTTTGGGATTGGGATTTCTCATCATCCCATTTCTTCCTGCAAGTAACCTGTTCTTCAGAGTGGGATTTGTTGTTGCTGAAAGAGTCATCTACCTCCCCAGTGTTGGATACTGCATGCTTCTAACATATGGATTTGGAATACTAACCAAACATACTAAGAAAAAGGTATTATCTCTGAAGTTTAATACAGTGGACAGTGGTGAATTTATTAGTGAAATTTAACACATTTCTCTTTTCTTTAAGAAACTCATTGCTGCTACTGTAATAGGGATTTTACTCATAAATATGGTGCGTTGTATTACTCGCTGTAGCCAGTGGCGAAATGAAGACCTGCTTTTCAGGAGTGCCCTGTCTGTGTGTCCTCTCAATGCTAAAGTAAGTTGGTTGACTTTTAAAAAAAAAATACTTAAGGGAAATCATTTGAGCCCAGCCATCCCACTAAGAAAAACATTTTTAGTTCTTTTTATAGCACCAAGCATAGCATCATGGATTAAAAAAAGTATTTAATGTTTTTCCATAACTTTTGTAGTTACCCTGTAAAATTCCACATCATCAAAATAGTCGTTCAAATTATTTAAATTGGATATTTTTAGCCATGTGTCAAAAAATTATTTGAAGTACTCATTTGAGGTCAAATTGACTAAATTATCCATTGAAATTATTGTAGGGGTGGTGACATTTTGGTGAAATGACCTAAAGGGAACTTAATTTATATATTCATGGCACTGAATTACATTAGAATAAAATCACAGACTTTTGGAATTAGTAGGGACTTTCGAGATCATCTAGATACTATCAAGGCCTAGACCAAGAAGGAAAATTTTAGTTAAGGAGAATTTAGAAGTCATCTGGTCTAAGTTCAAAAGGATCCTAGGATTTAGGGTGGAAAGGGACCTTAGAAATCATCTAGTTCAACATCTTCATTTTATAGGTATGGAAACTGAGCTCAAGAAAGATGAAGTGATTGGTCTGAGGCTGTATAGTAAATGGCAGAGCTATAATTCCAACCCCCAATTCAAATCCAACTCCCTCATTTTATAGATGAGGAAAATGGCAGAGACAGTTCTCAAATAGAGGTCTTCCGACTCTAGTTCAGGAGATTTTTTTTTACTAAACTCTGTTTCCTGATTTTGACCAGGCAAATGTCTTGTGAATAGGGAGGATCAGAATTCAAATATAAAAGCCTACATAAACTGCAAAGTGTTCATGTTTTTCATCATTAGCCATATTTTACCCCTCATCCCTATGAATTGTATGTTCTTCTCTAAATCTTTCAACATCTAAGATCAGGGAAAAGAAGAAAGAGTAGAACAAAGGAAATCCTGTGGTCTTCTCCTGACATGAACCCTGGGATCTGTGCTATAAATTATGTATTTATTTTTCTTATTTCCCTTACCAAATTGTAAGCTCCTTGAACTCAGAGGCTTTTTAAAATTTCATCCTAAGACAGTCCAAACACACAGTAGGCATGTACCTACTTACTGAAGGTTGAAATAGAAATAAAAAGCTTTTTAAAACATATCAGGAACAAAAGAAAAACTATATCTTTTAATAAGATCAACAAATCCACAAATATCTGCTTTATATAAGACCTCCAACAAAGTGCTGTTTGAAGAAAGAGAATTTTGAAATATGAATAGTGTATACCAAAGAGATACCCATCCTACTCTGAAGAGCAGACCAGGACTTTTAATACTGGAGTAGTTTTTAGTCTTCTGTTCTACCTCTCTGCCTTCAAGTAACTAAATAATTGAAATTACTCCATTTCAATTAATTAATCAAGATGAAATTAAAAACAAGGAACAGTAAAAACCTAATATAACAAGGGAAAAGCCATCTACCTAGCTATGTAAGGTTTTTAATTATGTTTTTCACAACATTTTCATTGAAAAACATTGTACTTGTGCCTAACAGGTAGAAGCTGTTTTCTTTGGTTACAATGAAGCTTTAGGTTTGATGCCAGTTACTTTATTTGTTTATGGCATAGTCTGTATTTGAGCCAGTATTTTTACAAATAGATTCCTTGGTTACTTCAGAGTCATTGAACAAGGGAGTAGAACACTTGTGAATACTGGGTTTGTCCAGCCCTGTAGAGGAATAGAACTGAATAGATGGAAGAACTAGGAAGTTAGGGCATTTGAGGTAATATCAATATGTATCTTGAAGTCCTCTAAGATGAGGGCAGAAGTAAGGGTAGAATGACTATTAGGCATTGAATTCTGAAAAAGAGGGGAGAATAGCCTAGTGGCCACCCCGATTTGAAAAAGTCCCTATTGGCAGCCAACTGGTTACCATATTTATACCCTACTGGTGTACCTTTCTGGAAGATCATGCCCTAAAGGTCATTATCAATAAATGTCTGAAACAAACTCACAAATTAATTAGAAGCTCAATAGAACTTATAATGTCATACAAATCATAAAGTAGAATGGACATACTCTTACTCTTTCAATTTCAGATGACCCCAGAATGTGAATGGGACTATTGGTGGCACCACTATCAGAATATTATTGTTCAACATAACTTTAGTAAACTGAAGAAGTGCCAAAGAAACAGTAGTTTCTTTAGACTGAAAATAGGGTGTTGTAACTAAAAAGGGGAAAAAATTGCTCAAATTATAGATAGATGCATATATAATTTGTGGCAGAAAAAGTTCTGGGAGCCTTAATGGATGGAAGATTCACTTTGAGTCATCCATGTAGCACCGTAGTTGGTTTTTTTTTTTTTTAAGTAGATACTTAACTCTAATAGATAACTAAAGTAAGGCATTAAGTACTTGTAAAACCTGTAAGGTAATCACTTAGTCCTGCTCAGGTACTATAAAAAATATAAGTCTCTTGACAAATAACACTATTTCTTTTTTTTGTCTTTATAGTGTTGGTGACTAGAACAGTGCCTTGCACGTGATACTTGCCTGATAAAGCTTTTTAATTAAATATAGACTCTGTAGCTCTAACATAATTCTGCAGAATGTGTCAGAAATTATTAAAAATTTTAAAGTAAAAATTTTCAATTCAACAGACACTTATTAAATGCCTACTATATTCAGAATACTTGGGATACAAAGACAAAAATTAAATTCCCCCTCCTCAATGACTTGCATTCTACTGAGGGGATACAATGTCTACATAGATTAGCAAATACAAAGTTATATTGTGTAATTTTAAAGGGGGGGCAGGTATCAAAAACTTATTGTAGTAGATGGTTCCAGAAAGAAACTAGAGGTTTTACAAGAGGTGAGGAGGGAATTGAAAACAGGAATTGTCTCACTTTTGTCTTTGTATACTAGCCTTGGGAAAATGGATGTTCTGATTAATTGAATTTTCCTGACAACTGAAGGTTAACCTAATGAAACTGTCTATGTGAAGGACACCACTGCATAGGATGATAGGATAGGATTTGTATCTTAAGAATTCTTTCAGATGCACACATTTGTACAGGTTCAGCTCTAAACTGCATTGTTTGGTTATGTTTTTTAGAAACATAGCACTTTACCAAACACAAATTTCCAATCTAGTAATCAATCTAATATATAATGTCAATATACTTGAAAAGAGACCTCATAAAAATACAAAGTGAAAAATATTTCTCTGACTTTAGCAAAGCAAAAGAAGGATAAAATCTTTCTTCTAAACTCAAATGGGGAGAGAGGGAGGAAGCAAAAAGCTTCAGAAGTCTATAAGGAGTGACAGATTTTTTTTTAAATGAAGTTGTATTTGAAATGTAGGAAGCTAAATATGGTTCTGAAAAAGTTAAAACACTTGGAAAATATTAACAAAAGTACTCAAGCTTGAAGAAGTAATCTCAGAAGTAAATCTCAAGTTGTCTGTGTAGTCTTTAGCTATGAGGGTGTTCCCAGAGTAAAAGCTGAAACTCTCCCCTCAGAGTTCTAGGTTAAAAACAGAGTATAAAGTCTTAAAAGTTTTTGGAAAGTGACTGGAGAATAGGTTAAGTGAAACTATTGATGACTACTACCCTGTTCCCCCAAGATAAGAGAAATGCTATCTATGTGTTATAGAGCTGGACTTCATGGTCATTCCGTTACCCCTTGATGGTTGAAAGACTATAAATATATTGATTACAAAGTGACTTTCTAAAACTCTTTTTCTTCCAAAGGCCTGAAACAGATAAATATCTTACATGGTTTTTGAGTCTTCTAAGCATAGACTGCTCACAACTTCTGCCCATCTCACTGTAGTATAGGCTGCTAGAAAATTCTGGCTACTGGAATGCTGATTATTACAAGTGAAAAGTGACAGGAAGGAGTTACCATATACCTGAAATAAAAGGAAATGAGGCTAAGCTGCAGCATTAAATAATAATGGTAATTCACATTTATATAGCATTTTATAGGATCATAGATTGTTGTTGTTGTTTGTCTTTCATTCTTGAAGAGGACCATGATATCAAGAGGGTTATGTCTTGACGTACAAGTGAACTGGATTTAAATGAGGCAGAGCTATACGAAGTCATCAGCCTCACTCTCTCCCCCATCAGAGGAGTCATAGGAGTCCAGTGGCAAGATATAGATCAAGGACACTGGTGATGGCCCTGTAAGACTCATAGATTCAGAGCTATAAGGGATCTTAAGAATCATCTAGTCCATAGCCTTTATTTTGTAGAGGAGGAAACTGAGGTTAACAACCCTGAAGCAGGTACTTGTGGGAATTATCTTTGTTTTACTTGTAAAGAAACTGACCTCAAAGGTAGTAAGTATAAAATATAAGTGAGAATTTCTTGACTATATAGATTCTGAAATGCTAAAGTGGACTGTTAAGAGACATTGAATCTCAGATCTTAAAAAATATGGATTTTCATCTTCCTGGTGTGTCATAATCATCTTGCTGTCAAATTAACTTAAAGTTATGTACATCTTTTTTTAGATTCTATCATATTCACAAGAAAACAGTAACTTCAGGTAGAATATGAAATTATGTAACTAGGTCTAATAAGTAGTTGGCCTATTTATGAACCCAAAGAAAAGCATAAAAGGTGCTTGCTTGGGCAACCAGACAATTCAGTAGCTAGAGAACTGAACCTCAATTCAGGAAAACCTGAGTTCAAATTCTGCCTCAGACATTTACTTAGCTGTGTGATCCTGGGCAAATCAGTTAACCTCTGTCTGCCTCAGTTTCTGCATAATAATAGTGCCTGTCTCCCTGGGGTGTTATGCAGATAAAGTGAAATAAAATAATATTTGTAAGGCACTTTGCAAATATCAAGTTACTATGTAAATGCTAGATATGTCTCATTTCAATGTTGAAAAATCTTTTCCATTATACAATTTGAAGAGTTGGCCAAAGAATGATAAATTTCCTCAAACTTCTCTTTAATTTTATTTGCTGACCTGCCATTTTTATTTTTAATGTCACTAA